GTTCTCAGTTCTATTCCATTGATCTATGTATCTGTCATTAAACCAATACCAGGCAGTTTTGACTACTGTGGCTGTATAGTAGGTTTTGAGATGTGGCAATGTGAGACCTCCTACTTTGTTTTTCTTCTTCAGTAGTGCTTTGCTTATCCAAGGTCTCTTTCTGAATTAATCATTTCAGTAAAGGTACAAAATGGTGATTTTTCTAGTTCTATAATTACTTCCAAAGGAGCTCTAGTGGCTAAGTGGTTAAGACATTTGGCTGTTAACCAAAAGTTTAGTGGTTTGAACCCACCAGCCACTCCATGGGAGAAAGATGAAGCAGTTTGCTTCCATAAAAATTTATAGTTTTTGAACCCCTATGGGGAAGTTCTAGGAGCTCTGGTGGTGTAGTGCCTACAGCATTTGACTGCTAACCAGAAGGCTGGCAGTTCAAACCCACCAGCCACTCCTCGGAGGGAAGGTGGGCAATCTACTTCTGTAGTGATACCGCCTTGGAAACCCAAGTTGGGGTCGTATGAGTCAGCTCCAACTCAACAGCAGTGGGTTGTATTATGGGGAAGTTCTACACTGTTCTTTGGGGTCATTATGAATCGGAATCAGCTGGATGCCAGGGGGTTTGCTTTTCGTTTATCATTACTTCCACATTACATTCATTGCCATTGAGTCGATTCTGACTCATAGCAACCCCCATTGGGTTTTTGAGGCTGTACATCTTACAGGAGTAGCTCGCCCCATCTTCCTTCCAGGAAGCAGCAGGATGCAGCTGGTGGCTTTGAACTGCTGACCTTCTCATTAGCAGCCACATGTCTTACCCACTACCCCCAGAGCTCCTTACTTACACAGTAGATGAGCTGAAATGCTTATATAAAGATGAACTTCCCCTTATCAACTAGGATTATTGAGTAACCTCAGAGTACAGTTTATAGAGGAAAAGCAGGATACATTTAATTCTTTTCTTTTAATTTTCAGAGAAAGATATTGTTGTCCTGGTTACTTCCACAGTATCCAATGACATTTTCTTCTCTCGGTATTTTGAGTCAGTTACATTTACTCTTTTTTTATGCTCAGTTTTACCTTTGGCCTATGAGAGCCTGTTCAGGTTGGCATCTTTGTCTTTTTGATAGACTTCCTTTGTCTTTGATAATTGTTTTACTTTCTGGCAACCTCAGTATGGCCCAGACCCCCTCTTGTGTGTTTCCTGCCCTGATTTGGAATCAGCCATTCTGTTCCCCTGCCTCCTTTCTACGTTTCTCACTGAAAGGAAACCTGGTTCACTCTTAAGTCCTCAAGTCTAGTTGACTGGTTCCTATCAGTGGGAATGGTATTTAAGAAATCAGGCTCTGATTGCCAGGTGTGTTCATCACTGCTGGGATGTTGCTTCTAAGCCTTTTCAGTGGACAGAGCTAGGAACTATGTATTTTTCAAAAGAAAAACAAATCATGAGTCCATGTTAAAAACCAAACTCACTGCCATCGAGTTGATTCCAACGCATAGGAACCCCCTTTGGGTTTCCGAGGTGGTAAATCTTTACAGAAGTAGATTGCCCAGTCTTCCTTCTGTGAAGTGGCTGGTGGGTTTGAATAGCCAACCTCTGGTTAGCAGTCAGATGCCTTAAACACTACACCACCAGAGCTCTTTTGAGTTCATGTTAGTATGTCTAATTCAGATTTAACATTACAGGGTTTTTACTTCCTTGCCTTTTTATATGAACCTCTTTCACT